CAAAGGCAACGGACCTGTTCCTGCACAATGTATCTGTATCTGCAGTTGTATCTGTGTCCTGGCTGAGCGACAGTTTGACATCTCTAAATAAAGTTTGCACTTGCAAGCTACGTGGGCACAACCCACACACTCATACGAACACCTACACAAGCACACACCCTCTCACCAAGCAAACACGCACACACACTGATGACCGGAAAGATAGACACCCACAGTGGCACGTTTGACAATTTAATGGTGTTGAGGTTATTTATACAATACGCTCGCTGCAAGTCCTCAAATATTCAGTGACCGGCAGCCAATGACGTGTCCGGCAGTTGGTCAAAGTACCAGTTTTATGGCTTAAAATAGTCAGTTTAACTTAGGGCCAAGCAGATGGAACGCATCAGAAACTTACGCTAGCTGAATTTTAATTTGGTAATTTTGAAGTGATTTAGATGGTGGCAATCTGCTATAGTTTTTGGATCTGTATAATATAGTTATAGTTTTATCACCTACTTTAGAATGAATCATTTAGTCAGTCAATAATTATTTTTCTTCTGATAAGATAGCTGCCTTTAGTACAAGTAAGGAACCCTTATCATATCCATGAACACCCATGTTTCCAGAATTTCATAGAAATTCGAACAAAAATTGAAAAATAAAGGAAAGAAAAAGCTTAAGCCCTCTTTATAAATAACCTTCAGGGTAATATTGCCTTCCCTACATCTCTTTTACTCTACAAACTAGATCACTATTTGAGCATTACTTAAAGCTCATTTGGGACCTTAACCTCATTCACAAATTATTCCCAGCAAGTGGCTGAGCCAAGTTCCAATTGCATTTCAGTCACTCCCCAAAGGATGTCGATTGACAAGACAGCTTCCGACATGGCAACGGGATCCAAAGTGCCTCATCAGTCTTTGGCTGAAAGATACTCGTTCGCAGAGTACTCACAGTTGAAGTATCTCGGTTGCAGCTAACCAACGCATTACTCTTGGCCGTTACTGTTTATGGGCTTTAATTTAATTTCTGTCCGAATGGGAAAAGCGCTCTGAATTAACGATCTGTTTGGCCACATAAAGGCGATTACCCAGGGCAGATACGCGGATGCATTAAGTTGGGATTGGGCGAAACACTCGTCGAGTTATGGCCTTTTAAATACCAGTTGTTGGTCAGGCCAACAATTAAATATCAAAATAATCCCGAGTAATTCGGTAACATTGTGTGAAACATGATGAAAACTAAAGAGCCATGATACGCATGATAACCAACCTTTGATTAGCATTGGGATTGGGACTGGGTTAGGGATATTTTGTGCTTTGTGACGAGTTGACTATATAACGAATGTCCTCCTAGTGGAATTAAGTTGCGACCCATAAATCAGCAAACATGGGAAATTACAAAACGAAAATGATGTTGACTACGTGGAATGCAAATGAAATGACCTGCATGACATGCAAAGGCGGAATGCAAGGCTGCTAATAAATAAAAACATACGAGGCATTCGGGGGCAACCGACAGCAAGAGAGAGAGAGAGAGATGGCATTTACATAATTTTGATTATTTTCGCTGGATGAGAGCAGTAGTAGTAGTAGTAGTAGTAGTTGTAGTGTCCTTAGCCCAAATAACATTTGCAGTTTGGCATTTGGGTTTGGTTTTTGAGGGCTTGTTTTCGATTGTGGTCCTGAAACTGGCCTGAAACTGTTTGGCATTATGGAAATTTCCGTTTTGTCATTTTGGGGCGCGAAGTGTCTACATGCAAATTGAGTTGCAACAAGCAGATCCCCCTCCACTCTCAACTCCAATCGACGGCAGTTGTTTTTGTTTGTTTGTTTAGTTTTGCATTTGGCAAATGCAATCTTAACAGGGCTTCCTGGTCGTCTGTATGTCTATCTGTCCTGCCGTCTCTCTGCCAATACATTAAATTGCAATTTTAATTTGTTTAGCATGCGGCATTGCTGTTCCTGCATCTGCACCACATGGCGTATGCGTTATAATCACACAAACTCGAACATACATATGCACTCACTCCGTACGGCCCTGTCTGCATTTTTAATACTGCCATTCCACCTGCAGCTGTGCCCCAGACAAACTGCCAGAGATACTTTCGCATTAAAAATTTAAACAACATTGCAGGCAAAGCGGCGGAAACAAAAATGGATTTTTGGACATGTTTTCCAAACAGCGCACATTTTAAGCTGCTCCATTCGATGTGATTCTCACAATCGGTTTCGGATTTTTTGTTTGCTAAAATTCCTTGGGGGCTGTATTAAATATTCTATAAATTGTTATAATCCCCCAGATATATGCAAATTAAATGTCTTTTAATTTAGCTTCGACCAGACGGGTTAATAAATATTCCCTTTTAGTCGTCGTCGCTGTGGAGGCAAAACATAAATTCTGAAATTTTGGTTAAAGGCCAAGAGCCACAGAGAAACATAACAAAGTATCTTGGGGATATAATTGAGGCGTAGCCAAATATCGAGCTGAAGAAATCAGGAAACGTTAAATATTTACATAATTACTTGACAACCGAATAAACGATCTAGTTCTGGCCAAATCTCATTGAAAAAACCGAGCGCACACATAGTAGAGTACAGAGACCCCGCGATGAGGCAGAGTCGAGGAATTTGCAACGTCAACTGAAGTGAATATCAACGAACGACCTTCAACATGAAATGCGACGTAAAATAAATTTATCTCAATTATATATAAGCAAACTAGATCTATATATACGAGTACATATATATATTCACGTCCGTTTCTCTAGAGGGAAAATCGGACGGATTCGTGTTCGAGGGGGGTGGGGGCGAGTAACTTTTAAAACGGCCAGTGAGAGATTCTTTCGGTTTTGCCTGTTTGCTTTACATTCACCTTGGCAGCACAGTACGAAAAGTCCAAAGCAAAATACAAATTTATTTTTGAATATTTTCGGTTAGCAGCGGCGTAAAAAAGATATGAGAAATGTTTCCCACCCACTGAGGGTTCTCTTTAAGATGAACATGTCATAAATGTTTTAAGAACTATAAATGAAATATTAGGAAATATTTAATAAAGATTTTTGTTACCCACTCTAACACAATCGTAATAATCATTTTTATGGATAATTTTGTTAAATATTTATCTAAGATTTTAAGAAGAAAAGAAGAAAAAGTGATATTGCCCGGCTATTTAGCAAAATACATTATCCATTACCTATAAATCTTCACTGTATGCTGCACAAAAATCTTCTTTATAAAGAAATATGTATATTTCCTTCATCTAATGACGCCACAATCAGGCGATGGCCAACATTTTTATGCAGATTTCTTGTTTAAATATTTACACAATATCGGCGTGCTTTCTCCGCCGCCTTTCAGTACAAACAATAAATGCTGAAAAAATTTATAAAAACGAACTACATTTAAAATATAATGAGACCAGCGGCTTGTTTGATTTATTTGCCTGGAGTTTGTGTAAACAAAAATTATATAGAAAACAATATATGGAAAAATATTTTGTATTAAAAATCCACGTGTTTGGTTTTCCCTGCGGCTTGGCAATTTCCGCTGTAAATGCTTTCATTTCCTCTCCGGTTAAAGTGTCTTTTTTCCGAAGATTTCCCTTAATTGGCCAGACAAGCTGGGCAAAGGAAATTGAGAAATCAGCTTATGGGCCATTAGTACATAATTCAGGTGAGACAAGCCCAAGATTCACCTGTACGCAACACACACACAGGAAAGTGAGAATTGAGCGGGAAAAAGAAAAGGTTGGCCAATCGGTCAGGTTGCCACCTTTGCCGCAGGTAGACAAGTATTTCCGTTTGTTGTTATTTGCCAATTTGGGGAAGGAAAAACTGCCTGGCAAAACGAGACGTGTAACCCTTTTTTTTCGCCTGGATTGGATGGCACTAAATCAGGAGGACTCTGTGGGTGCTTTTCCTTCTGCCTCCTCGTGTTACGCGTTCTTTCTTTTTTGGTTTTGTGCCGTTCTGGGTTCTTTTCATTTTTGGAATTGCCCGACGCTCGACATTTTTCATCCTACGAGGATTTTTCCCCAACCCTTAACCATTTCCTGCTGGCCCAACTACTACTTGACACTTCCGTTTTCCCTTTGGAAGTTTGGGGCCTTCGACTTGCCTTTGTCTTTTGGCTGTCTAAACCACTTTGCTCTAACGTTCATCGGGTGTGACATTTATCCTTCATCGTCTGCGCTTCCTTTTCTCCTTTTTTTGTCTTTCATTTCAGCTTTAATGTGGAAAAAAGAATTTATATATATATAAATTTGGTCCTCTTTTGTTTTATGCGTGAAATTTATTGTTTCTGACAATGGAAACGGCGTCGCAAATGTTTCCTGATCACAGTGCGCCTTATCTGGGCTCCCCCTTTCGGTTTTTTTTTTGGGCACGCCCCCACTTTTCCGCTTTTCCAACAGTCATGGCCGTATTTTATTGAAATTCATGTATTTTTAAAAGCCCACTGCCCCTGGGATGCGGCTCTAAATCGTTTAAGCATTTGTTTCCACCATTCACAGCTTGATTTCGCCAGATCCATTTTGCAGTTGTGTTCGGTTTGTTTTTTATCTGTGCATAAAAGTTAATGTTTTGCATCGGCATCAGTATCATGGGCCGAAAATGTTTATTGTTTTGGCCCTTTATTAAAGCGTAGTTAAATGCTGATAACTTCAATGGCCGAAAAAGAATTTGTGAGGGTTCGAAAACAGCTGTTAAGCCCTGGATTTGTGTTGATTTGATTTGTCTATTTGCAGTTTGGCTTATGGGGGATTTTTTTTGTTGAAAAAATCAACGAATAAAAAGAGTTTTCAGTTTAATCTTTGGCAAGGAATATATATATATAATAATTACACTTTGCCAATTGAGACATTTTATCAGGACAACAATATATAGATAGATAACCGTCGACAATGACCCTTATCACTGGTGATACACAACACGTATACGCAGCGTTAACTGCTAAATTCGAGCCCTTATCGGAGGTGAATTTTTTTATTTGGTATTTTGCAGCAATTTGTAGACTTACCACCTTCCGGCTCTGAATCATCTATATAGATCATATTGCTGCGTCGCTTAACGCCGATTTCCCGCAAACGTTGACCCGTCGTGCAGCTGTCAGTTTCACCAAACTTTCCACCGAATTCTTTTCTCTTTGACGTTAGATGTTTTGTTTAGTATTTATTTATTTGTTTTTGTTTTTTTCAACAATATTTAATGGCATCTATAATTATTCATCACTCAACATTTTGCGTGTTAACTTCACTTCACTTATGGCACGATTTTTGAAAACTGTGTTGGTTTTGCGCACTTAAAAAATGGCACAAAAGAACGATTCTTTATTTATAGCTAGTCGGGGGCGCACCACGTTGCGTATGCTTGATTTTAAGCGCAAAATTCAATCGCCAGCGCCACTATTTTGCTATTGTGTCATCGCGAGCGAGCGTTTTGCCTCAAACTGTTTTGGCCTGGCCGCACATTATTTGATTTGAGCTGTTTTCGTTGCCGTTTCTGCTGTTTCTGCCTTTTGCCAATGCGGCGTATGTGTGTTCCTTTGTGGTTATAAATGTTCTTTTGGCTGATAACTGCCGCGCACTGAGAGAAAAGTGTTCGATCGACTCTCTTCACGTATACGTATATCTATAAATAAACAAACACATGCACAAATATAGGGGGCAAACCTCAACTGCACACATACATATATATGTTCCTATGTATGTATGGACTCCTATTTGTATTGGCGTTTGTCTGTTTCGTTTCGTATAAAAATAAATTGCAGAGCAATTTGTATGCTTCGCTCTTTTTTGGCTTGTCGCTCATTTTGCGGCTTGTTTTTGTACGCGAATGAAATTATTTTGCCTGTTGTCGTTTAGCACATTTTCTACAATTTTCCGATTTTCTTTTTGGCAATAGAACAACACAAATTCGACATTAGTCTGGGTATATATATATATATCTGTACTATATATACTTGTATATGGCTGCTTCCTATTCCCAGTTTGTCACTTTTTCGCAACTTGTTGCCGTCTCAAAAGCCCTGTGGTCTTGTCTACTTTTGGCTGACTAAATTCTTGGCCATATTCATTTTAAACAAATTATCTGAGAAATCTTATCTCATGGAATTTCCAAGAGTATGATTGCATCAAGATAGCACCAAATCATTGTTACGATTGCTATAAATATTGATTTGTGGAAATCAAAATGATTTATCAAGTGTAATGATATTTATTGGGCATTGTAAGAGCATTCCGCATTGCTGAGTTCTTTTCTAAAATTGAAAATTATTCCCTCAAAACTATAAACTTAAATAATTTCCGCACTTATGTTTATTTATAGCAGCGTAATAAACCCAACAAGAAATCACTGGCATTCCAATATCAAGGCATCTTAGCCAACAAATTAGTTGGCATTCCATAATCCCTGGCATCCCACAGTCTCTTGGCAAATCGCTCATTAAACATTCCCGAAACAAGTGCATAAATTCCTAATATATCTTTTAGAAGTGTGAACTATAAATAATGGCAAAGCGGGCAATTATCTAGCCTCGTTATTAAATTACGCTCGTCTATATTTATATGGGTTACCGGTGCTTGGAGTCCCCGTCTGCCCCGTAGCCCTAGACTCTGGTCATATCTTATCAAACGGAAGAAAGCCTAATGGCCGGACACGACGACAGCGACAATGGGGGAATCATGCGTCATGGTCATATATGAAGTTAAATATAAACTTACACAGTGGGAAATGTATCTTTGGAATGGGAGGAAACTTAGTACTTAAGGGTAATATTATGCTTACTATTCTGACATTTAAAACTATCAACAAGTTAGCTTAGACTAAAAAAATGTCCCAAGTAAATTCCTATTTTATTCAAAAACCTAATAAAAATATAATCTTTTAAGAAATGAACTGAAAAAGTCCCCTTATTATGTTAAAATACATTTTTTCCTCTGTGTCTCTCATAGGCTCACTGTCTGTCTGTATAATTGGTCTCTGTATGAAACATGGCAGTGGGGTGGCTTAAATCACTTTAAGAGTGCCACCGAGTGGTCCGCTGAACGTTTGCCTTATAAACAATAACAACGGCTGAGCCGCAAGCGAACAAACCGAAGCCTTGGCCATAAAATTACGTATACGCGTTGTTGGCAGCTGCAGCCATAGAACATCCCATTTTCCACTCTCCCAGTTGGATCCACATATACGCTATATCCACTCAACTCCATTCCACTCCCAGCGATTCGGTCAGTCGCCTTCGCCAGCAGCAAAGGCAAAGGCAAATAAACAAAACGCCTGCCAGGTCGAGCCACTTGATGCGAACGTGCCCAGACAACGGTGTGTGGTTGGTAAACGTGTTCTCGGAACTCCTACAATCTCATACCCAAAGCCAATGGAATACCATACCCACATCCCATTCCTATCCCACGGATGACCACTCCGGCCAGCCGGACTTTAAAGTTTTCCGACCAGAGACCAAGGCAAACAGACTGGCTGCCGAACTAAGCTGCATTTTGATTTGCACACGGCCAAGTGACCAAGGGCTGTTGGCCAAAAATTGGTTTGGGGCCTACGAAATCTCCTGGCTTTCACGTCACGGGCTTCCGCCTTTGGCTGCGCTTTGAATAATGCAAATCCCTTAAATGCGCTAAACGCAGCTGGCGGTCGCTCCTTCTGATTTTTTCGCTTCGATCGAAAATTGCGACGACGGCGGCACGTTTTGTTTTAGATACTGCCCTTCCCTGGGGCTATGCTACTATCTTTTGGGGTAAGATTATGAAATTTGGAAAAAATAAGAATTTATTTAACATTCCACTGAAAATGCTTTTAAAATAAGCAAATAAATTACTTCAAATTTTAATAAGAAATGTCTGCCTTATTAATGTTTACCCAAAAAGGTAAAATCTTTCCAATCAAAAGAGAATAGAAAGTTCTTCATTTGACAAGGAAAACTTTTCACTACAATTTAGTTGATTTGTTGTTGTTTCGCTTGTCGTTGTCACTGCAGTTTATGTTGTTCCCTTTTGTTTTTGTGCCCGGGTTTGGTGTTGCTGTTTCCGTTTTCGCACTTTTCCGACCAGGTGAAAAGGCCGCTGTTATTGTGGAATGATGTTTTTACACCTTTGCAACTTCGGTAGGTTGTTTGGTGTTCACCAAATTGTTTAGATATCCCGACGCACCTATTTTTTTTGTTTCGGATGTTTCGCACTTCCATTTTTCATTTCATTCGTTTTTTTTTTCTTTTTCGGCTTGCGCCGTAAACTTTTCACCTTACAAATGTTTACATATCAATGCGAATTCCCGTTTTGTGTGATTTTTGGAAAATTGACAAATTCTGGCACTCGACACAACGCGTCGCTCATTGCAGGCGCAACTGTTTCGGTATGTTGGAAAATATTTTTCAATTTCAGTCTAGTTTTGGTGGAAATTTTTCTTTTTGGCTCTCGGCAACGCCTCGTTGCGCTATTTTCGTGCTCCTTTTTGTTTCCCCGTACATTTAGAAATCAGTTTTCCGCCCCGATTTCTGTTGAGTTTGCCGCGGCGCAACATGAAGTCAATGTGTTTACCTCGCTAAACTTCTTTGCGTGCTAATAATAAACCAGCAAACAACGAACAACAAACAGCAACAACCGACAATCGGACTTCGGCAACTGCAACAGCGCAGCATTGGTCCATTAGCCCCGATTTCCATTTTCAATTTTCCGAATGTGGGAGGTGCGTGTGGGGTGTTTTCCCTAGGAACTACGTGAGCCGGAGCAGGCATAAAAAGCTTTCAATAGGATGTTAGAAAAGCCGCCAGGAAAATGGGTTAGTTCCTGATAATTATTATTATTACATAAATTCGTAAGTTGATAAGTATTTTTTATCACTAAAAATATTATCATCTAATCACTGACAGTTCGATGTTATCAAACTTAAATTACAAGTTACATGATGAGTTTAATGATCACATTGATAAACTTTTATGATAACCCACATGCAAATGGTTCGTATCAAAAAGATATAAAAACCGATGCAGCGAAACAAGTGTTAGTTTCAAAAACTTAAACTGCTGAAAGATGTCTGTTAATTGCTTGAAAGTTCTTCTGATCCTGTCAATCGCGACTTACGTAAGTATATTCCTTAACATTTAGTCCTGTTCTCAAAAGGATGTGTCCTTAAGGGGGTGGTTGTACGAGCTATGTTGGAATGTCGAATGGAATCGGTTTCAAAAATTTATGGAGACAACGAAACACTAATGGAGTTTAATTTCCGATTGATTGGACGACAACGGCTTATAAATGGAACAATCATCTTCCACGTTGACTTAAATGACGATTTTCAAGTTTCTAACGAAATCTACACACACGTAGACGGCGAATGGCAGCCATCTACTATTGGTGTTAAGTACAAGGCCTGCACATATCTGCCTCTGATATATGATAAATACTTTTCACCTTCCTTTAAGGACACGAATTTTCCAACAGGCAAAGGTTCGTGTCCAGTCAAAAAAGGTGAATATTATATGAGAAATGCAGAGATAATAGCCGACAATTGGGCTTCTTATGCCCGATTGGGTTTGGTCAGAACTCTATTACTAATCAAACGAAATAATGTGCTCTATGGCGGATTAGAAAGTTTATTAGTTTTAAGCGAGAAGACCTTTTAATATTTTGAGTTCGAATAAAGCACAGAAGAGCTATAAAATAAAATATATTATAATAATACATTTCGAACAAACTTTCTGCTGATGCTTTATTTTCAAAATCATATCAAAGAGAACCGCAAAAACGTGTTAATAATTTCTGATTTCTTGTTTTCTATCTAGCATTTCGATTTCCCGACATTAGCCTTGCTCTCTGCATTCCACCCACTAACTTGACCAAAATAAAATTAGCCATCGTTTCAAATCAATTTGCTGGTCTTTCTTCTTGGCTCTCAAGATCCAGTTTTTCCGTTTTCAGCTGCCACGATAGCTAATATATTTTTCTGGGTCATTAATGGAAAATATGCAAAGCATGCAGACAAATGGCTAAATAAATTATTTAATTCGAAACGATGGTAGTGCGCTCGAATTATCTGCCATATAGTTTATATAGAAGCTATATAGTGCTTTGTTCTGACTCTCTAAGGTCGCCGGCGTGTCGTTGACTGTTCTTTTCTTTTCTCGCTGGCGCCGCACTTTATGACATTTCCCATCACAGCATATATTTTTGGGATCTGTGGACATAAATATATATATATCTGTATATTTTGCCATTAAAAATAAACGCCATTTGGCCTTTACACGGCTCGTTGACAGCCGGAGATCAATGTTGTTGAGGGGTGAGGCGGGGTGCTTCTGAGCCAGACCGACCTTGCTGCTTGAACTTGTGACAAAGTGGAGCAATGACTCGGATTCTTTTGCATTTCATCAATTGTAGCTGGTGTCTTTTGCATATCAAGACAGGTATATATATAGTATATCCGATTATATATATACACTGCCATGTTTTGTGGACTTCCGGCGAGACTTGTTTACGTCTAAGAACTGGTCGAACACGTAAACAAATGCACAGGTGAATCGTATTTTTAGCCTGAATACGGCCTATTTCGATCGGATGGGGATTGGAATGGCTAGAATTGCAATTGGTGGCGTCAGTGATGCGGGACTTCATCTGCCTGATTTGCGTTCGCTTGTAAATACATTTAATTGGCACTTTTGCCGTTCGTCTGGCAGCTGAGTGCCTCGTTTATTATAAAATAAAACATGCAGATTTATTTCTGACATTTCGAACTGTCAAAGGCAAATGGACTGACTGGGCCAGTGACTGTGGCAATGGAAAAGTTCAGAGATGGCGAAGTTTTGTGGCTAACCGCAAAACAATTAATTTTGATTGCCTTTTAAACCCTTTGAGGGTGGCAACGGAGGAACGTGCGTCGTACACTCGACTTTCTAATCCGTTTCGGCAAGTTTTGTATCTCGGCACGTACGCTCCACCACGCCCACTTTTCACTCAGGAAAAGTCTACATACAGCCCCCTACCATTGCCACCTGGTTATTCCTTGGACTCAGCTGAACTGTCATGAATTGTAGGGAATTTATTTTACCACAAGGACTGGTTTTTGATGCTGTTTGTGTGGAAGCGTTTGGGGATTTGTTTTACCCCAACAATGGGGCCAGGCCAAGAACTTTGTTTATTTGCCTTCGATTTAACTTAAAGTCTCATTTCATTGATCGAAATTCGGTATTCGGTATTTGGTATTGTTTAAAAGGGAAGATGCCTCAGCCCATTGGTATGCGAAAATAAATATTTAAAGATTGCCACTTCCAGTTGATGGCGTCATTGCGACGAGTAGAGCGAAAATTCACAAAGAGAGAGAGAGAGAGAGAGAGAGAGGAAGTCGTGAGAAAATAAAACGGAAATATATACAGGGAACACGAAAATTGAATGCAGCGCCCAAAAGTCGGCCATGAAAAGTATATCAGAGGAAAAAACAAAATACAGGGAATATGAAATGTAAGCAAATTCGGTTGGAAATCCATGCGAAGTAAGAGAAAATTTTTTTCAAAAGCTTTTAATTGGTATTCATTACTGCAAATAAAACTGCAGCTAACTAAATTATACAATTTCTTTCTCAGTTTTCCTTTTTTTTCCTTTATCTCCTTTCGTCAACTCGATTTTTAAGAATATTTTTTACGAAATTATTTGAAGGGTTGAAAGCAACTCGATCGATGCCGCATTATTATGCGTGCTTGCAGCTTAAAATAATAGAACCAGCATGCAATTTGGGGCGAGTGAAGCAAACGCAACAGCCATAAATTTAATGCAAGACAAACAATATGACGTCTGAAATGGGGGCGTGGCTGGGGCAGGCCATGGGTGCCATGGGAAAAAAATCTCATCAACGAGCTGGAGCAAAACGAGAAGAAATATTGAATGCAATTTTATTTGCCACACACTCTGTACTTGTACGGCAGCAAACCGTTTGGCGAACTGCCGGGTGAATTATGGAAATGCATCATATTATTCTGCAGCTTCTGCTCTTGCTGCAGTAGGATAACCTCCTTCAGGTTAACCTCCTCCAGGATAACCTGCTGCGGAATGTGTGAGAGCGTGCGTGTAACTATGCTACTTACTGTCTGTTTGCTTTGGGGACTGCTATTGCCAGACGCACAGCGCTACACTGAGAAAAACTATTACAAAAAATAATTAAAAGATTTATTGTTTTTTAACTCTTTTCTTTTATTTTATTATAACTAATGTGGCGTGTCTTAAGGACCTTCTTATATAAGATAATAATATTGAATTCTAAATAAATTTCCAATTTTCCCAAGTGCATTACTAAGAGCCACGTGGCCAGGACCAGAAAATATAGGGAGCGTGTAAAAAAAGTGAGGAAATCTTATATATATTGCGAGAATGGAGCCAGGCGCGATTTTAAGGGTGCTACCCCCTCTGTACTGAAGCTTTTCGCCAACCGCATGCAGCTTGATAAAAGACGCAGTCATGGTAACCCACCTGCCACTAAATGAGTTAACGTGCAGGCATGTGGGCGCCCTTCCTGCCGCCCGAGAATCTCCTCTGATGTTTGTTTGTTTGTTTGGCTTTGCCTGTTTACGTGCAGTCATGCGAGACTCCGGCTCAAACCCCGACTTTTCAGCTGATGCTGGAATCTGCTTCAATTGTTGTCTGTCGCCAAAGGATACCTCAGCTATACCCCCTGAAATCCTGCCATTCTCTTTCTATCTCATCAAAATCCATTTTAAGATTTTTGATTTAATTCCGCTTTTGTTTGGCAAGTCGGTTACTGCTGCTCATGCCATGTGTATCTAGAGTTTAGATTCGCCCAAGCAAATTTGTTTATGCCCGTCAAAAGGCTGACTCTGCCGGAGACATATGAACATTTGAAGGATCCACTTGGACTGTCTGGCATTTGCTTGTATCACAGTTAAAGTAGAGAACGAAGGTCCTTCTGAAAGTTGTCCAATCAAATGCCTTGCAAGTTAAAAATTAAATAAATTGTTGATATATTAAAATCTTGAGCTATTAAAGTTTGTTTAAAAAGGGTTAAATGGATATCAGCTTTTTGGCTAACTCGGATAGCTGACTACGTTGCTTGGATATTGGTATAAAAAGGGAAACAAATTAAATAACAGTTATGCCATAAAATAAGACCAATTTGACGCTGTGATAAAAGAACTGCAATAAAAACAATTTAGTGCACAGAAAGAAATTCCTGAAAGCAACATTTATTCGTATTTCCATACCTAAACCCTTATGAGATATCTCTCAAAACATGGATAAGGAATATAATAAAGTTTCTTTTCCCTCTGTGTTTTTATAAAATATTTCTTAAGCCTCACCCGGAGTTATTAAAATATATTGAAAACGACAGGTAAGCAATGTCAATCGTATTGCTGGCTGAACTGGAATTTACCAAATCAAATTAAGCACGCTGCATTGGGCAGCACGAAAATATCCGCAAATGTGCAGCAGTTTGTGGCCGCCAGAAAATAGCCCGAAGCCCGAAGAGTAAGTGGGAAAACAATAGCTGCCACAGCACAAATCAAATCACGGCAAATTAGTTGTAATTCAATTGCCGACAGTCGTCGCCGTCTGGATCGTCCCACCCTTACCTTCCACATGTTTGGATCCTAATCCCCTTAGGGAACTTGGCGAAAACTTGTTGATACCGTTTTTTTATGTGGCATGGGGACAGCCTTCGACCCCTCGCAATTCATAACACCACCTATATATATATATCTATCTATTACAACTTGTACGAACAACCTCCAGGTGTATCTATGAGCTGGCTGACAAATATTTGACGTTTTAGTCTAATTAAATTAGCCGCAACGCCGCTCGACCCTCGGGAAAGGTATATATTTCTGCGTGGTAGTCGCAGCGTGTAAATTTCGCAGGTGGCACACGTTCGCGGTGCGTCGCGGCTTGTAACTCGGCGGGTTTTTCCCGACTCAAAAGTTGAGCAAAAATAAAATAAAAATAAAACAACACATTGTAGTGGAATAAGTGTCTACTCCGTCCATTCGGTGCCTTAACGTATTGTTATAAAAAATATAAAAAAAAAGAAATACATATATACATACAACTCATATCCTTAGTCCCTCACCTAAGCCGGTCACATGAAATTTCAACGTCCATTGTGCCAGCGAGTTGAACAATTGCACACGTTTTTATGTGCCGGAATGCAAGAAGTACGTATCCGTACGGTTATAAGTGGCTTAAGTGCAGTCCGTGAGCCAACTGAATTATGTAGTTATATCCTTCATTCATTGTGCTCCTGATTCTGCCCCGGATCCTGTGCCTGCTCCTGTTCCAGCTCCTCTTCCAGCTCCTGCTCCCTTGATTGTGAAGTTCTGTTACCGTTTGTGTCTATGTGTACGCTGGGTTTTGTGGTCTGTGACTGCTGGAGTTTTCGTTTAAACTTGCCTGCCATCGTGATAAGCTCTCGGTTTTTATGAACTCCATAAACTATACGAAATTTGTTTTAAGTTTTAATGAACTGTAGTCCTCTTGCGAGAGAATTATGATACTTCGATTGCCTACAGAGGAAAATTAATATGTAGGGAGTACAGGGAAAGAAAAGCTATGTTACCAAAGGGATAGCTTCAAGTATTTTGGACTTTCCGAGTGTAAATGGAAGCTCTTATAAAAAAAGGATTAAAGCCGTAAAAGAAAGGGAATACTAGATTTCCCCATCATGTTATGCTGAAAATGCGAAAAAAAACTTAATTCGGCATTTGAGTACATGAAAATATTCGAGTTTTTTGCTGTACATTTCCTTCAGGCGAACAGCTATAAATCCATGTATAAACGCTTTCCATGAAGTGGTAGATAAAACCGAATTTATTGTGACATTTTTATGTCTGTCCGTGTACTCACCTGTCCTCGGCACTTATATTTCTATTAAGTTAATTAAACAATGCACCATCGGCGGCAACTGTGGCAGCCAGAACAAGCTTTTGTCCGGTCCGGAAGTGTTTTTTTTTTCTCTCCCTTTTTTTATGGGACTACCCCCCTTTGATGGGTTGGTATTTTTTCTTTCCGCATATGCAAAGCGCTTGCATTTTTTATGACCATCCCAAACACTTTTAAATGCATCTGCAGCATCCGCATCGGCATCCGCAGGAGCATAAAGCCAGTTTAAAGCAAAAGCATGTAGACAGAATGCATTTTTTCTTTGCGGATTACCGATTGGTGGCCGCTGCCCAGAAAAAACAAAAGAAATAAAATAATGAAAAACAGCTCCTTAAATATTCATTTTGGCATTGTTCACACATGCGGAGAAGAGCGCCGGAAAATAAAAATATTTGTAGTTGCGGGTGGGGTGTGGGAAAATATAGGAGAACAAAGAATCGCTGGAAATTAATTCTAATGGGAAACCGATTGGCGATGGTGATGTAAACAATCCATTGAGTATCACAAATATTAATAAAAATTTTCAGCTGGCCGTGGCTAATAAGGGAAATGCAAGTGAAAATTGTTTTCCCCCATTGAGAAAATGTAAATCAAAACAGAAAAAGTGATTGAAAGAGGTGCTCGCGAGTATGAGATTTAGTGTTGCCTTTGAATTTCAATCGAAAAGTCAGGAAAAAGTGAACAGAGTTCCTAATCAACTCACAAAATTTCCGAAACTTAAATCTTGCCCATGCAGTTGGCACTTAAAAAGGGCTTAGCCAACTTGGCCAATGACAAAAATAAAAAAAAAATCCACAAAAAAAAACATTATAAACAGCTTAAATAGAAACTTTTTGCACGACGGAAACCAGAAACCATAAACCAAGTCAAAAACCAGCAGACACACACAGGCATACAAACACACACACTCACACACACAGAGCCAGTTGGACATAACTATAAAAGCAAAATCAACTTGAAAGTTGCATTTGGCCCGGCTTAGTATTGGACTTTTTTGGCTTAGCCATTGTGTATATAAATATATATATATATATATGTTATATGTAAATATCATGCAGTTTTCAATGTGCTAAGCCCTGCGACATGGAGCCGGAGTTTTGAACTCTGAACCCTAGACACAGCATACATGTACATGGAATATTAATTACCCTCAACTCTTACTGTTAAGTGAAGTGTAAAAATAAGAAAAGCAAAAAAAAACTCTAAAATGGGTCGCAAAAAGAAGCTGCCAACGGGCGTAAGTAGATACCCAAAAGTCGATCAAGAAAGTAGCACCTCTTAAAGCTGCCAGCATTAGCTTAAACGACGCTTACCTTAAACGCTGCCATGCCATTTAGATGGAAGCCAGACAATCAGCCAAGCATCCTCCACTTTGCACTTAATTTTCTTGTATGTTTATTTTTTATTTATTTGCAATTCCGCATACACGATTTCCACCCCACCACCCCACTAACCCACCACATACACATGTATGTATGTTATTCCCACATACTCACCTGCTCTTCTGTTTAAAATATGCCAGGTATCGTCTGGCGGCAACAACGCCGCCGCCCCCAAATCGGTGGGCGGGTGCTGTGTGCCGCTGGGATTACCGCAACCTTTGCTGCTCGAGGAGAAGAAGTTCCTGCTGGCTGTCGAGCGAGGCGATATGCCGAATGTGCGCAGGTGAGTAGCGCTTTTTACGCCTCCGATACCCCTCAGGTGGGAGGGGAGTACCAGATTCCAACCAGGAAAAATACACTATAAGAAAGCAGTTTAAAAGTTATAAGCAAAACCAAGTTTAAAAAGAGAATTTAGGGGTTGTTAAAATCAATTTCAATCGTTAAAAATGTAACTTTGCTTACCAGATTTCTCTGAGTGTACGCATTAGGCTACCCCAGTATCTCCACCGCCACTTTTTTAAGGGGTATCATGGGTTCCAATGGTGGCATCGCCAAGGGAAACACAGGTGTTGCCTGGGTTGGGCCGCTGAGGTAGCATAAATCCCATCGGGAGCCTCCTTCGGTTGCTTGGATGTGGCGCTGGTGGTGGTTTCAATTATTTGCAAACTCGTCCGCCACCGCCTGCGGGCCTCAAAATGGTTACCTAACTTGTATGCTGCATGCCACTTAATAAGCAATATGAGGACTCCGACGACCCACATACTTTACGCTCGTTTACGGCCTTTCTTTAATAAATGTACAATTAATTTCGTTAGGTTGCAATGAATATGAGAGAAGGAGCAGCGCCTCTGTCTTTTGGGCAACTTGTTAAAATACTTTTCGATGCCAACTTAAATGGCTTAAAGTATCTTCTCGCAAAGCATTTCCTTTTGACGTCGTTGTTTTTGGTTTTTAATATTTAACATTTAAATCTCTATACCTACAATAATATAACCATTACTTTTGTTTGACATTATAGCTTGTCATTTATGAACAATTCTTTATTGTTTTTATCGGTTTGGCGAATTGGTAGTAACAACAAGCAAATGGATGGTGTTGGGTGTTCTTGATCCTGTTCCTGTTGCGGTTCCCCTTTGGGATCTCACTTATTTTGTAGAATGTTGAGCAGTTTATGATGTTACTACTGGTGCTGATGCTAATCCTAGTGCTGGATGTAAGTGATTCTACATGGGAAATCAAATACAGATGATGTGACACGGTTGGTGATGTGGGAAGTGTTGCGGCTATGATGGTGGTTCGGGCTATTTGATTACATTTAAAAGTTGATAAAACGATACGGATTGTAGCTTTTCATCTCGTCCAGGGTGTAGCGGTATCGGATGCCCTTCGATGGCTCCTCCTCGGAGCCGTTCGAGTCGTCCTCTTCCTCACGGATATCATGTACCCGCTCCACCCGGATGCCCTTCATCTGACAGGCACGGCGGTACAGCTGCTCCTCGCGATCCATGTAAAACTGGCCCGACACGGCATGTTGCGGAACGGCCGGCTGATTGATCATCGGATGACCACCGAATGAAGCACCACCGGCCCCATAGGCTGGCGGGCTAAACCAGTTGATACCCAGTCCGCCACCGGACATCAGCTTCACAGTTTGGGTCTCTAAAGGATTTTTAAGCTATGTAGTCCTCTTACAGGGGAAACTTTCCGGATTAAAGACTTACCCTTGTTCTTTTGGGCCATTTTGATGACCAAACTTTGACCTTCGGCGGCTTCCATTTGATATCGTTTTTGTTGATTCGTCGGGGCTTACGAATAATTTAATCGCCTAATGTTTGGAGTGGTGCGTAATCACTGTAATCGCGTCGTGAAAAGCGGATTCCGGTTCGTCTTTGAATTTTGTACAACAATTTATGTTGACGAACGATCGTAGAGATTAAAGATTTTCGCCCTTAATGAATAGCAGATGAAAACAAATTGTGACAGTTCATCGGCAAGGTAGCCAGATTTCGATAAAAACCCCCCCCCAAAGGCAGTGTTGGAAAAAGTAGGTAACTTAATTTTGGGACTTTTTTCTACCAACTTCATTATGCTTTTTCTGGCAGCTGGGCAAACAGAATCGATATGAGGTCTTTTTTGGCACCCGATTGATTGGCAAAGTTTTTTGTTGGCCGCGGCCGCGATGTAATTAGAAACTTTGGCTCCAACTTTTGACTTGACACCGAGCATCGGGAGTGGGGGAAACTTTGTTCGAAAATGAAGAAAAGAAAAAGTTATTGCTGACCTTTCAGTGGATGTTCGCTCCAATTAGCAACAATGCCACGCCCCCCACGCCTTTTATTAAGTAAATTCCAATAATTGCAGGATCCTGCAGAAGGCGCTGCGCCATCAGCACATCAACATCAACTGCATGGACCCCTTGGGCCGTAGGGCTCTCACCCTGGCGATAGACAATGAGAACCTGGAGATGGTCGAGCTGCTTGTCATCATGGGGGTGGAGACCAAGGACGCCCTGCTGCACGCCATCAATGCGGAGTTCGTTGAGGCTGTGGAGCTCCTGCTCGAGCACGAGGAGCTCATCTACAAGGAGGGCGAACCCTACGTAAGTAACTTTCTGGACACTTAAAGAAATTTCACTTGAAAGATTAGAAAAAGACAGGGAAAATGTTGAGGATGTAATTTTTAATGAGGCAGATTTCTCGCAGTGTATCATTTGTTTTGTCTGCTGTGCTCAGCTAATTTGTGGCCCACATTATCGTCCGTAGGCGTTAAGGCCCTGTAAGTTGAAGCTAACACGATTTTAATCAGTTTCGGTGTGAGGTGAGTTGGGTGGTGGGGAATACTTGGAGAGTGCTCCGAGTGTCCCCGCCCATCGGGATCATCTTCGCCATTGGGCACGTACTCGCAGCATCTCAACTCTCGAGTGATTGGGAGTGTGCGATAAGCGGCCAACGACCAAGAACCCCCACTTTTGCCCACTCCTTCAGTAAATCCAGCAGTACATTGAGGACCTCCCCGGTATACGGTTTACGCTTATTGCAAATAAAGTCGTCTGGGCTTCCGTCGGCCTCATATTTATGCACACAGGCACGCTTCATTAGGCAGCCATTGGGCGCTGTTGGAGCGTGAAAATTACTATTGTAGCGCATATGCAATAAAACGTTTAACAGGCTTAATAACATCCACAAACGATGAAGACAACGCACTTCGAGTGGGTCTACTTCGAACAGTTTTAGGAATAAATGAAGGTTCATTTTGGGTAAACAGCCTCCGAGATTGACAAAATATTGACTGGTCAAGAAAGTATATGAAAATATTTCTTGATCAGGATCAATTTTAGTATCATTAGTTTCTTATATTTTTTGTAGGCTTATTATCTATAAAATTGTTAAAACAAGACGTAGACCTAAAAGAATGATTGTTTTGTGCAGCTAACGACCCAAACTTACCATTTTTATCAATTTCCGGTTGATTTTGGATATTCTATTTTTTGGCTATTTTTGGCATTTTTGATAAGGGGTTACATCATCAATTTTTGCGAAATATGCATAAAATTTGACATTTTTAGGTGGGGACACAGATTTTTCAGAAATTTAATTACGATCTCAACGAGATATGACATTCCACGTTCCGACCATTATTCGCTGTGTTATAAGCCAAATAGTGACTTTTGGGGAGAGATCAGGGCAGACCAAATTTCGCATTTTTGATAAGGACCATCAATTTTTGGAAAAAATGGCCAAAAAACTACATTTTTAGGTGTGAACACAGTTTTGTTGGAAATTTAATTACAAACTTAATGAGATATCACTTTCCATATTCCTATAATTTTTGGCAAAGTAATGAGAAAAATACTGGCTTGGTTGACCATAAATCGGAAACTTAAGTAATATTTGCAATATGTGATCTAGGCTTATCGGCTATAAAATAGTCAAAACAAGACGTATAGCTAGAAGAAATACTGTTTTGTGCAGCTAACGACCTAACCTAACAGTTTCCTTGACTACCCACTTGATTTGGGAAATTTAATTTTTTGGCAATTTTTCGCATTTTTGATAAGGGGTTACATCATCCTATTTTGCGAAAAATTCATAAAATTTGACATTTTTAGGTGGGGACACAGATTTTTTATAAATTTAATTACGATTTCAACGAGATATGACATTCCACGATCCGACCATTATTCGCTGTGTTATGAGCCAAATACTGGCTTTTGGGAAGAGATCAGGGCAGACCAAATTTCGCATTTTTGATAATCATCAATTTTTCCGAAAAATGGCCAAAAATTGACATTTTTAGGTGTGAACACAGTTATGTTGGAAATTTAATTACAACCTCGACGAGATATGCCTTTTCATATTCTGATCATTTTTAGCTTTCTTATGATCAAAATTCTGACTTTTTTAAAGCATATAATATATAGTATAATTACTTTCTCAGAGTTGGCAAAAAGTAGACATAAATACGGCGATGTTTGCACCTGATATCACACCTCTTATGCTGGCGGCCCACAAAAATAATTTCGAGATACTTCGCATTCTTTTGGATCGTGGAGCTGCAGTACCAGTGCCACATGATATACGGTTAGTTTGGAAAATATAAAAAATCCGACAGTATATTCCTGATAAATACAATGCCCTATAGTTGCGGTTGTGAGGAGTGCGTTCGCTTGACCACGGAAGACTCTTTAAGACACTCCCTGTCCAGGGTGAACATCTACAGGGCGTTATGCAGTCCCTCGCTGATCTGCCTTACCTCAAACGACCCTATACTCACCGCCTTCCAGTTGTCCTGGGAACTTAGGAATCTGGCCTTAACCGAGCAGGAGTGCAAGTCGGAGTACATGGATCTGCGAAGGCAGTGCCAGAAGTTTGCCGTGGATCTGCTGGATCAGACACGAACTTCCAATGAACTGGCCATCATCCTAAACTACGATCCGCAGATGTCAAGCTATGAGCCCGGTGACCGGATGAGTCTAACCCGCCTGGTGCAGGCTATTTCCTACAAGCAGAAAAAGGTATTTCCAGGTCACGCCTCCAGCAATTTTCATTTGCTAAAATTCCCCATTTTCACTTCCTTCGACAGTTCGTTGCGCACTCGAATATTCAGCAATTACTGTCATCGATTTGGTATGACGGGCTCCCAGGATTCCGGCGCAAAAGCATTGTGGACAAAATCATCTGCATCGGCCAGGTGGCCGTGCTTTTCCCGCTCTACTGCCTCATCTACATGTGCGCCCCGAACTGTAGGACGGGCCAGTTGATGCGCAAGCCCTTTATGAAATTCCTGATCCATGCCTCCTCCTATTTGTTCTTCCTGTGTGAGTATGTCGAATGCGGAGCACAAAGCAAACAATATGAGCTCGATTTAAGGTGGTGAAGATGGGCAGGATGGATAGGTACCCTTTGAGAGATTCATACGTATAACCTATGATAGTCCTTTTGTCTTAAGAACTTTTACGTGATTAAAGAAACATAATTGAAAGGAAGGTATATATTTTTCAACTTAAAAGGGTATTAAATAATGCTAAAAATATGTATGACAAGTGGCAGAGCCAATCAGACATTCATCATGACAGATTTTAAGCACTACACAGGGTTTGAATAACATTAAGATTTCCTTCTCCTCCACCCAGCACCTTTTATGATAAAAATCCAAGCTGCGGTACTCATTGTTGTTTGTTTTCCAGTCATCTTGATTCTGGTATCGCAACGGGCGGACGATGACTTTGTACGCATCTTCGGAACGGCCAGGATGAAGAAGGAACTAGCAGAGCAGGAGCTGCGTCAGCGTGGACAGGCTCCCAGCAAACTGGAACTCCTTGTGGTGCTCTATGTGATTGGGTTCGTTTGGGAGGAGGTGCAGGAGATATTTGCTGTGGGTATGAAGAGTTATTTACGCAACATGTGGAACTTCATCGACTTCCTGCGCAACAGTCTTTACGTGAGTGTAATGTGTTTGAGGTGAGTCTGGAGGAGATTTCAGTGACATTATGGTTATTTCCTTTCTATTACCATATTTCAGAGCCTTTGCCTATATCCAACAGGCCACGGAAATAGCCAGAGATCCACAAATGGCTTATATACCTCGCGAGAAATGGCATGATTTTGACCCGCAGCTTATTGCCGAAGGTCTTTTTGCAGCGGCCAATGTCTTCTCGGCCTTGAAGCTGGTGCACCTGTTCAGCATTAATCCGCATTTGGGTCCACTGCAGATCTCATTGGGTCGTATGGTCATCGACATTGTGAAGTTTTTCTTCATCTACACCCTGGTGCTGTTTGCCTTTGCCTGCGGCTTGAACCAACTGCTATGGTACTTTGCCGCTCTGGAGAAAAGCAAATGCTATGTCCTGCCGGGTGGCGAGGCGGATTGGGGCTCGCATGGCGACTCCTGCATGAAATGGCGCCGCTTTGGCAAGTAAGTCCAGTCACCAGGCCAATTATCCTCTGGCCAGTTGCTGCCCACTCATTGTGCTAATTCAATGTCCCCATCCCCGATTCCCATAGCCTTTTCGAGTCCTCGCAGTCACTTTTTTGGGCCAGTTTCGGTATGGTCGGATTGGACGACTTCGAGCTGAGTGGCATCAAGTCGTATACGCGATTCTGGGGACTCCTCATGTTCGGCTCGTACAGCGTCATCAACGTGATTGTTCTGCTGAATCTGCTCATCGCCATGATGTCCAATTCGTATGCCATGATTGATGTGAGTTCTGGCTCCTCTTGCAGTTCGACTTCTAAAGGTCAAAATAAACCCTTTGTTTTTGCAGGAGCACTCGGACACCGAGTGGAAGTTCGCCAGAACCAAGTTGTGGATGAGCTACTTCGAGGATAGTGCCACCCTCCCGCCTCCCTTCAACGTTCTACCCTCCGTGAAGTGGCTCATTAGGATTTTCCGAAAGTCAAGCAAGGCCATTGATCGACAACGCTCCAAGGTGAGCAATAACTTAAGATTAACTTAAGTTTCTAATAAAACGAAACCTTTTTTGATCTAGCAGAAGCGGCAGGAACAGGAGCAGTTCAGCAAGTATGACAACATAATGCGCTCCTTGGTCTGGCGTTATGTAGCCGCCATGCATCGCAAGTTCGAGGATAATCCCGTCTCAGAGGACGATATAAATGAGGTTAAAAGTGAAATCAACACTATGCGATATGAAATGCTTGAGATATTCGAGAACAGCGGCATGGATGTTTCCTCGGCCAACAAAAAGGAAAGGCGTAAGTTTAAAATTAATTTCAGACATTTTTGGCTTACCCTACAGAGAATATTTTCAGAGCCACGTCCTAGACGCATAAAAGTCTGGGAACGTCGTTTGATGAAGGGCTTCCAGGTGGCTCCAGTGCAAAATAGCTGCGAATCCGATGCCTTCGGGAATGTCAACGGGCAGGGAGACATGAAGGAGATCAAGGTGGAGTCTATACCCTCGAAGCCAGCCAAGGAAACCGCTAGGGAACGGTTCCAGAGAGTGGCACGCACAGTTCTCCTGCAATCCACCGCCCACAAGTGGAATGTGGTGCTCCGTGCCGCCCAGGACTCCCAAATAGGCCGCTCCACCAAGAACGAGCGCAAAAACCTTCAGAATCTGGGCAGGGCCATAGAAGAGGCCAAGAGGTGAGGTTTTAACCTTAAGGTTGAGGCAGCCTTATTAATGTTTTATACTTTCTAGGCTCATAATGCTCAATCCGGGCTGTTCCTCCGGTCGGGAGTCTCCAATTCGTATTGAATTTGAGGATGAGAAGACGAGCACCTTGCTGGAGCTGCTCAACCAGATCAGTGCAGAAATCAGCGATAGCGAAAGACCCAAAATCAAGCCGACCTGGCGACCTCCTCTGAAGACCGTACCTGCCCGAGCAATGGCAGCCAATAATGTCAGATCTCTCACTGCACCCGAACTGAAGATAAGCAGGAAGTCCTCACCAGCTCCCACTCCGGGTCCAACCCCTGGACACACTGCAGTTTCCCAACTAAGAAACCGAGAGCTTCCTTTGTGCCCCAGCAAGCTGATAGCTAATTCAACTCCTGGTGCTTCCACCGCTCCTCTCAAGAAATCCGCACCATCAGCACCAGCTGGTGTACCACCACCACCCACCTATAAGGGCGCTACCCACACCCCCTTCACCGTGGGGGCTCGCAACCCAGGCAATACTCGTACTTCAGATGGTGTGCCATCCGGCAATTCCAACTTTGACATCCATGTGGTCGATCTGGACGAGAAGGCCGGGCACTTTGGCAGGGATAATGTTTCCGATATAAGCTCCATTGCCAGCACGAGTCCCCAGCGGCCAAAGCATCGTAACTAAATGTGATTGTGGCATGGACACGGGTGATATATATCTCAATGGGTCCACTAGATGCCTTACAAATAGCTATATATTCTTGTATTTATCTGTAAACAAGGAATAAAATTATTTAGGCAAATGAAATGAGAAGAGACTCGGCTTAACTTGAGGGAATCTCGTTTTTAAATGCTTTCCCCCTGATAAATAGCATTTACATATGGCCAATGAAGCATCCACAGACATGACATGGACCCTCCGGGGCTTAACTTCTTTTCCGGTGAAAGCGTGCGTGAATTTGTAAGCCGGAAGCATCAAAGGCAATTGAGACACAAATATAAACAAGTCGCCGGATAAACGCTACTCTTGGGGGCCAAGAAGAAAAAGAATTATAAATTCAATTTGATGTCATATCAATTGATTTTGGGACACATCTTTTCTGCCGCTTGCCCTGACGTTCCAATGGTGTTTCTGTGACTTTGTAAGGGTAGATATATATATATATAGAGAGAGAGAGAGGGATTTCTGAGGTCCTTGGCCATGTTGGAGGGTTTGGTAGCTCTGCGGCTGGCATTTGATTTTGATGACGCGTGGCACTTTGAAATTTATGCGCCACTCTAAGCACACTTTGTATGCGCCCAATGCCTTGGAAAGATGATGAACGTTCGAAGTTTTGGTACGTGTGCTTGTGTTTTTTTTTTTCGGTTGTTGTTTGGGGGACAATGTTTCAGGAGTTTGTGTGTTTTGCATGAAACTTGATGCTTGATGCTTTTTTGCTGACACTCACCGGGGGATAAACGCAGGTATTATGATTATTATTCCCCACCAGCCAGCCAAGCTTTTGGGGTTCTCAGCCAGAATTAAGATAAATATAAATGCCATTTTCCCTCTTTTTTTTTGATACTTTTTATGGCAGTGTGGGCAATAATATATGTTAATGTGATTAGGTTACACATAATTCAGGAGATGCATACGGTGACATGATGTACCTGATCTTTATGCTTCAATGAAAAGTTGGCAAACTTCTGGCCAACGGGGCAACATGATATTGGCCAAGCATGTAATTGGCATGCCAGAAACGTTTCTGGCCTGGTATTCGATTACCTGCTGAATGCCAAAAAGCACAGAAATTCGAAAATTCCAAAAATTCTGTTTATTTACACAAATTCACTTGAATTCCAGACAACATACGAGTTCTCTCATTATTTAGCTAGGCAGACAAATGTACACAGAGATGGGCTAGTTTTGGGTTAATTACACAGTACACTTAGTCTAAGATTCAAGCATTTGGATTGCAGATAGCAGATTGTTGTTAGAGGATTAGGATGAGAACATTATCCATCCGTGCGGGCCAACTTCAGTCGCACGGCAATGCGCTTGCACTTCCACATGAGCTGTGTTTCCAGGATGCTGAAGGACATGGCGACCAGGACGAGTCCTAGGAGCAAATAAGCACAGCAGGCGTATAGCTGTATCTCCGGTCCGTTGAAACTCCGGGCGGGCACAAAATCACCGTAGCCAATAGTTGACAGGGTGACAAAACAAAAGTATGCTCCGTCCACCAGTGACCAGTTCTCCCACAGGGCAAAGATCACCGTGCCCACGCAGATGTAGCAGGCCAGGATGAGCAGAACCAGGCTGATTGGTACCTGCCGACCCTCTGCCTCTTCATCCTCGTCCTCGGAGTCCTCCCCCTCACGACAATCCTCCGAATCGCAATGGTAGCGCAACTTTTTCAGCACAAACTGCTCACTGCCGTGCTGCATGTACTCCTCGTCGTCGGAAGTCTCCGTATTATTGGCCGTACTATCGTATAAAGTTCCGGAGGCGTGTCTGTGGCAGCGACGCGTCAGCAGCAGCGTCTTGCGGCTTAACGGTTGCAACGTGTGGCGGTTGAAGGCCACAGTGCGGGCGGCATTCTCACCCGAGTCCTGCGGCACACTCAAAGGACTGGCTATCAGCGGCACTCGCGAAGGCGTTCCATGCGGGCAGTTGCTGCGAAATGATAAAAAACACGGATGGACAATAAATATTTATGCCGCAGCTGACCATAAAATAAATCAATTAGGCATAAAAAACCAAACCCCAAAGTAACCTCGGGTCGTAAAATCGAAATAGCTGGCTGACCTCCTGTCCTGTCCAATCAATAAAGCATAAAAATGTCGGAAAACGTGTTTCTACACCGGCTTAGAATACCAGGCGTATGGGTTATGTTCTGGGTATTTGGATACTAAGGTATAAGACTGTCCTTCTATCAGATAAGTTTGTATGTTTTGTTGCCTTTTCTACATTCATTCACTTTAGATATAGCACATTGCAAGATGAATAACAAGTCTTTAAGGTGTACTTCGGTTATTTGACTTAAAGCCGGAAATACGGCAAAAACAAGTCTCAAAATCTCTCCAATTGCAAACTTCAAGTCCCAAATCGAGACTGATTTGATTGACAATCCAAATACCTCTTGAATTGCCACGAACGAGGGTCTCGACAACCTGCAACAGTGCCCATGGGAACGCTCGTTGGCCGGCACTCCGGTTGCCTCGAGTTCACTCTGTCAAACCAATTTGGCGAACATTTATTGAACTTGGCCAACAGGCTCTCGGGATTGAGATTGGGAGCTCTTTCGGCTAGACAAACACTTGCTCGAGATGCACTTGCAGAGCGATTGGCCGAACAAGTGCCAGAAAAGTACTTCCGATTTTGGCATCGATCAATAAGGACAACATCACGTGTGTACATGTTTACCTAAGGCAAGACGAATGGAAGGACTCCGGCCAAACGGGATGCTGCGATTAATTGAGCCGATTCATTGCGAGTGAGTGCCCAGCTCGGCTTACAATTAATTACAGACAAGGCTGTAACTGAAACTGAACCAGAAGAGGGGATATACTATATATATATATACGAGTATACTTGCCACTGGCAACCCCGCGACGCGTTCCCAGGTTCACTGTCAAAATTAATTACCAGATGCTGCTGCTGCTACTGCCACTGCTTTTTATTAAATAAAATGCTCAAAATGTGCGCTCAAAAAGGCGAAGGAAACCATCATCAGAAGCGGAGCACTCTTCACTCTGGCACAGAATGGCAGGAGGTGGACAGGGGAGGGGAGACATTCACCGCCACCGCAGAGGGGATTGCGAATCCGCAAGGCTGTTCAAGGGAAAACTGGGTAGTTGGGCGGATGAGGGCATGGGCTGGGCGGTAAAATGCTGTGCAGTGTGCATCATGCAGATTCTGAAGTGTTGATTTAAAGTGTTGCTGGCAGGCGGAAAGTTTGTTTTTGAAATTAAATTAACAGTTTTCCCCCAGCGTTTGGCTCTCGATTTTAGCTGGCAACCAACCAAGGCTTTAATCAGAAGTATCTTAAATACCTGCAGCTAAACCGTCAGGGTATTCTCTTTTAAGCATAGAGAAAAATCAGTAAAAGAATTCAAAGACAAAAAACTTCATCGAATATTTGCTTGATTTTAAAAAACATTCAATATAAATTTGAGAAGGTAACAAGAAAAGGTTGAATAATGGATTTATTAAGATTTAATTTCCTTGACTTTTCTCTGCGTATGGTACCTACCTTAAACGCTCCCTTTCCTGCTCGTCCTCGTCCTCCATGATGTCCACGTTGCCCGTGGAGTTGGCGCTTAGCAAAGCTGACAATGTTGCTGCTGCCGATGAGGCAGTTGCAGTGGCTGCCGCCCCCGTTGATGTTGTTGCTGGAGGAGGATGAGAAGGTTGAGCAACAACACCCATGCCACAAACACCTGCGGCCATAAAACTGTTATCGGACAGAGTTGCTCCTCCTACTCTGCCACCAGCGGCAACCATTGTCGCTCCTGCTGTGGGTATTGGAGCTCCTGTTCCGCCTTTAATTCCAGCTGACAGCTGTGGGCTTGTTGCTGCGGCCGTGTAGGTTAACAAAGGACCCGCTGCAGAGCCTGTTGCTGGTGACCCCGAATGGGCTGGTAGCAATAAATCATGTCTGCCGGATAAGTCTGGCGATCCCGTTCCGCAGTCCATCAGCGCGTTGATCTCGTGTGGCAACGGTTTCGTCACGAACTTGGCGCGCCGCACAGCTGCAGTGGGTGGAAAATGAAATGTATCTTGGTTAAAATATATTTCCGCAATTAATTATTTATATATTTAACAGAAAAACGTATTATTTGAGTTATACACTGTTCTAAAAAAGTTGAAATTCATGTTTATGTTCGAATTTAAAATGTATTTCAATAACAACATTAACCGAAACAAGCAGTGGCCCAAAAAAGAAGAAAGTTGATGCACAAATTGGCAAAACAACTTCCGGCAACTGCCACACACGGTTAGATTATCCCGTTAGCCCGTTAGTTCCGCCGGAAGTGGTAGTGGCAGCAGCGGGAACAGCCGGAAAAGTTGTGCATTTAGCCGCGACACACGAGGAGTTGAAGGGGCGCAGGGACACACAGCGAAAATTATTTGCTTTGCATTTTCAAAGTTCGTCCAACAATGCAACAATGTGGCAGAACGTTTCGGATTCGGAAACGGATTCGCATTCCCAAAACCCCGCATCCTTTTGGTACCGAAAGTTTGGCGTTAGCTTTCATTAGCGGCTGCCACTGGCAGGGTCAGGATGTCAGGGGGCATTAAAACATCTGACGGTGCACACAGTGGGCAATCGTCGTGGGCGCCAAATCTCCCTTTACTATTCCCTGTTGCGGCAAATTATTCAGCAGATTTCATTGTACGAATGCGAAAATACAATGCTACAGCTATTAGTGGCTTTAGGCTATTAATTTATCTTTAGGAGTTTAGATTTGCAGAATATTTAAGTCATTATGTGGGATTAAACTGGAAACTAACTAACTAGATCACTAGCTCTTACTTTTATTTATATATTTTCCTTGAGTAAACCTTTTTATTTTATATTTTATAGTTCACTTATCATTAAACTCACGTCTGTTAGTATATTGCCAACTATTTATTTTGGCTTAAATAACAGGAAACTTAAGATATAGAAACTATTCCTCACAACCACTGTCCTGAGTTCATAGTTACCCCCCGGGCAACCGAAGAAACGGAAGGAAGCTAAAGTCTTTCACTTTAGAGCTGTCAGCAGGACGCCGACGAAAATCGCGGTGCGGAGCAGAGTGGTCTACTCCGGACATGGCCAATTTGAAAATATTTACTTAAACTTGGACACCACACACACTCACACACTTGGTCACAGAGTAGACAGCGCACAAAGACATTCATTAGAGTGCAGGGACACACACATCCTTAATGTATATATATATAGCACTATATATCCGGACTCGCAGGAAAGTCACTTTGGTCCTGCGGTCGATGGTGTTGCAGCAACTTTGACTGTGCTTTAATGGTGCGGTATGCCGCGGATTCGGACTCCAGAGAAGGGAATGGACATGGACTCCACTATACCGAAGCCGTGTCCGGGTGCCAGTTGCAGACAATTAACATGCATAATGGAATCAATGGTCTCTCTCGTTCTTGTTCTCGTTCGGTGACAAATGGCCGAGTCTCACGCTAGAATTTGCTGCGAAATTAAGCGGAATCCTTTGACAAAACGAGTCACGTGCCGTCGCCTCGATGACACAGAGCTGTTAACTTTAATGAGTTTTGCATGCGTTGCACAAGCTGAGAGCTCAATGGTAGCGAACCGACAGGACTGTCTTCTTTATGCCAAGTCATCATTATCGTCAATAAAACTGTCGCACATGTCGAAAGTTGCCTCAAGTGCATGTTGTCCTTATCCTTGTGCTGTTGTTATTGTTGTTGTTGTTGCTGATGTCCTGGCATGTCAAGCAGCACAAGTTGAAAACTTTTAATGCCAGCAAAGTGTGTGTCTGCTTAACTCTGTCATTTTAACACGCTGCTGCTTCCGCATCCTGCAAGCTGCTGATGATGATGGAAATTGTTATATAATTGAAAGCGTAAACGAGCATTGAGGGGGGGAGGGGATGAAATCGTCCTACGACATCAGGGCGTATGATTGATTGATTACTGTTCGTTCGGTTTTGTTACGGGGCTCAGGTTAAGCCAAAACTGTCAGCAGAACATTTTCGGTTTTTGGCCTGCCAACATCAACGCTAACACAAATTGTTCATCCAATTAAATTCAATTTTCCTTTGTTCGATTTATGCAAATTTCCTGCCTCACTAGCATTAGCACTCATTAACAATTCACAAATATATGGCAATTTAGTTCAATTATTTTAGAATACACCTTGATACATATTCTGTGACATATTTTGAGATACGAGGATGCCCTCAAAGGCAAATCAAAACTGTGATTTCTTTAAGTTAGTTTAAAGAATAAACTACTTTATCCCTATCACAACCTTAAAAGTAAATTTACTCTGAAAGCCGTTTGAAAATCCCATCGATTTCAGGTAAAATCTCAGTTTATTTCAGCGCAGAAGTTCAATTCGCAAGTGGCGATTCTCCAGCCCATTTTTTGACGACCTTTCGTCAGATCATTTCCTACAAAAGCGGCAATAAACAATGCAATTTCATCACTCACCGTGCACATTGGCTGTCTGATAGGCTGGCGGCGGTGGCAATGTGATGGCCTCCAGTGTCGATGCCTCAGATCCTGTGACGAGATTCCCGGCTGCTGCATCCTGGAGTCCAGAAGCCAGTACTCGATGTTTCCCGGATGCGGGTTGCAAGTGTATCGTGTGATACTTGACCATCGGCTGTTGACTGAGGCTAGTGTTCCCCAATGGATTGGGATTCCCAATCGAAGTGGAATGGGCCTGAGTGTGGGCTGGACTGCCAGGGGCTGAGGGGGCAGGTCCGAATGGAAAGTAAATCGTTGCAGTCGCGGGCGCATAACAATTGGGAGGCACTGTTAGCGGCATTCGCAGCATGCTGCTGGGCACAGCCACGAAATTCTGTTGCAGTTGCTGCTGTGGATGTGGATGTTGCTGCTGCAGCAGCTGAGGATGTTGCTGTTGCTGCTGCTGCTGCTGCAGCTGATGATGTTGTCGCGGGAGAGTTGCTGTCGATAATTGCTGCTGTAGTTGCTGTTGCTGCGGTGCGTATTTCAGCAAGGCACTGCCCGATGTCGTTGTCATTAGCATGACATCCGGCTGCTGTGGCTGTTGCTGCTGCAACTGCAACTGCTGCTGTTGCTGCTGCTGCTGCTGCTGCTGGTGGTAAAAATGCTGCTGTGGATTCAAGTTGCGCAACAATTGACAGGCATCTGCTGACCGCATTGGACAAAAGAAAGAACAGACGTGTTCAAGATGATTAACGACTTGCAATTGTGCTGACAATACAATTAGCATTCGAACAATGGCCACGACACTCACCTCCGTCCTTTTTGTCCGGCGGCAATTTCCCCTTTTGGCCATACTCCAAGCAGTCATTTAAGCTCGTCTCACTGTTGGCCGCATCGTACTTACAGCCCTTGCAATTAGCCTGGAAAGAGAAATGCAATTATTTACGTGATATTCATTGCAAGTTCAGTTGCTTAACAGAAATCTCTTCAGGTTTAATAAGTACATATTAAAGGTTCCTGATAATTACATTACTCCAACGAATTGAGAACTTACAATATGCTTTTTCACTGTGTAATTTCAGGGTAATTTCAAATAATCATCTGAGCGAAATGCCAAAGGAATTGCCTTGGCTAAGAAGATGTTCAGTGCCCACACTGCGGCTACTTGACATGACGGAGGCAATGCCAATAAAACACGTAATTTGGAAACGCAATCCGGGGCCATCTTGAGGCCCAAAACTGATGTCATCATCTCCGTGGTTCTTTGCCCTCAAAAGCTGTTTGCGGCCAAACGCCTGGCATCTTGTGTGCTTTGCGGTTATGCGGCATCATCATCAAATGCCAGGCAAATCTAATGGACACACACGCAAACAACCGATGGAAATGAGGGAAATGTGAAATGTCTCCCTGCTAGTCTTGTGGTTTTGCTCTCCGGAATACCCATATCCATACTCAAAACGAGAACCAGAACCAAGAACCCGAGGCCCAGGACGCAGAACCCAAAAACCCGTTACAGCATGCGTCGTGATAATTGCAAAGACGAAAGCAAAGGCCAAAAGGCCAAAAGCCGAAATGGCAGCAGTCAACACGATGGCGATAATAATTCAACCGATGACTGCACATCCCCAGAGCTAACCGCAATCTGCTGGCAGTCTTATCAATTGCCAGGCGCATCCTTGTGGCGCCACAAAAGCCCAAAAGTCCACTTGGCCGAGCATCGTGTCGTCCTGGAAGATTGGATTGTGCCCTAATGAGTTGTTGAATGCAACATGGAGACATGGGGACCAAAACAAGCCGAGGAACCACCACCATCAGCATCATCATCAACCTGGCAAATGCAAAAATCCTGTTCAACAAGTCGCAGGCCTAGGATACGGGCAATCCTGAAAGGAATGCCATGCTTGAGTGGCTGGGAACACGGCAAGTAGATTACCACTGAAGCATGGTGAAAATGCGGAAAAATTTTTAGTTTCTAGCACCGAAAAGCATACAGCTTCGATAACATCACCTGCCCAGCGTTTCGAAGAGGGCAAATCAAATCAATTAGAGCCAAAAGTGCCGGAAATGAGAAGTTATTGCATGCCTCCACTGTAATTGTTGAGCGGCGGGTAAACTTTTTACTTTTTCTTGTTTTTTTTTTTTTTACCAGCCGCTGCATTAAAGTGGCTCGCACTCATTTCAATTTACCTGGCACGAAAGCCAGCCACTTGGGCCGTGGTAAAAATTTAATTTATGCCGCCGCCATTTGACCCAACTCAAACTGCAAAACTAAAGTTTGCTCAACTCTTAAAGTGTCGAATGGAAGGAGGCTTCCTACTTGCTACTCGCTTTAAAAGTCAACTTTTGCTGCGGGAATTTTCAAGTTTGTCGGGCAAAGTTTAGCGGGGAGTTCATTAAAAGTGTCGAGTTGGGTTGCACGTTCCCAAGTAAATGTTAATTTATGAAATGAATTTTTATGTTTGCCGCTCTGCCAGATGATGGATGACAAACACACGGCCATCGAAGTTGCCGTGGCCACCGCAAAATCACTTATTTATTTATTGAACCCTGCCGCCATTCGCTTTCGTTTTTTTCCACTCAGCCATAAATTGCCAATTAAACAGAAATTTGTGCAAGCAAAACAAACAGGAGCAGGCGGACAAATGAGTGGCCGCAAATGAAAAAGGCTGCGAGTGCAAACAGAAAGAATCACTTTTTTTCGTATTTCCTTTATTTCTGGTCTTAAAGCTTTAAAAGCGAATAACATTTTCCAGCGAATGCGAAAAAGAGTGCTCGGTACATGGAAAATCCGGAACTCCACGTTCAGAAATGTCATTACGAGAGGCCAGCAAATCACTTACAAAACTTATGCACGAATGCACAAAACACGCAAACAAACAAATACAGTTGGAAAACAAACAAACAAACCAAAATAAAAAAAGTGGGGGGGCTTTGGCAACCTAGTCAGAGTTTTGATATCCTAAAAAATTATTTATAATGTATACAACGATGGCTCCCTGTTGGCAGAGCAAATAAAAACGCAATAAACCAGGAAAAAACGTGAAACCGAACCCAAAAACAGTCTGCAGTTGTTGGGAAGACCTAGAAAGTATAACGAAAAACGTAAAAACAAAAAAGGCAAAAAGGAAAGTTCTTTGTTGTTTTGCCCAAATCAATTACAAACTTTCAGTTTGCGTTAATAGAAATCCGGGCCGAAGGATTGGAGGGATCCACTTAAAAGGCTTCTGCTGTCGTAATTAAAAGCCGTAATTCGAGATCCCAATGCATTTTGATGTTCGGAAAATCGTTGGAATCCCATTGAGAAATAAGCAAAATGCTGGACAATCGAAGATTCCCATCACATTCTGGCTTAGCAGTTTGCCATTTCCATATATCACCGACCTGGGGATTTCCAGGTTTTCCCCGTTGGCCAAAATGAAACTGTCGTTGCTGTTGGAAAAACTTTTGTGTGGACTAATAGGGTGGTGGGGTTGGCTAGGAAAAACTACAAGCGAAACACTTAGTGAGTGGTGGGAAAAGTTCATGCGTAAAACAGCGGAGTAGCCAGCGAAAGTTTTTCGCCGAGAACTTTGGACACGCGAAACAATGTCGAAAGTTTTCTTTAAACCGGAATGCACAGGAAAACACTTTGGACTCGTTTTCTTTTTGGGTTACTCAGCAGCAGCAACTGTTGCTGTTGGAAGCACAAAGTAAATAAGTTGTCCTCTCAACTATCGAATTAGGATCCATAAAAATGTTCTTGAGTTCCAGTCAGTCGATGGAGTGAATGCAGCTGCTGTTCTAGCTTAAACAATATCAATCATAAGTCATGGGAAAATGGGGGAAATACCATTGGGAAATCAGTCTGAGTTAGAAGGGTTCAGTACGTGTACAAAAGTGAAGTCAGTTTAAATAAGATAGTTAAGTCTTTTCAGATGTGAAATAAAATGGTTTTAAATTAAACAATTTCTAGGTTTTATAGCTTTTTGATAAAATCTTCGCATAAGTTTAGTCTTCCTTGCGATTAATTTCTTTTTTTTTGTTCAACAGCAGTTGCCTCTTTAGATATCAAATTAAGACACATAAAAGTGTTCTCCAGATGGAGTTAAACTTTCTGATGAACTGCAGCTGCTGCCCTTGCTTAAATAATATCAATCATTCGCCATGGTGGCCTTACCATTCGTCGCTTGGAACCCTTTTCCTTGTCCTTTTCCCTCGACTTGGCTGGCATCGTTGTCATCGCTGTGCTGCCAGTTGGCGTCGTCGCCCCGGGTGTGGATTTCCTTCTGTGCTCCTGGTGCCTCTGCAGTTGGCAGCAGAGTCGCACGTAGGTGCACTGCAGGGCATCGGCGAGGAGGGCGCCCAAGCTGGACAGGCACATCAGCATGAGAGGCACGCCCACCAGGGCGTAGAAGATGGTCGCCAGCTTCCCGGCGGCGGTGCGCGGCGTCAGGCTGCCGTGACCTGCAAAGGATCGGGATAATATATCTGGTTTAGAGCATGAAAATGGCAAGCACGAACGGGCTAATATAAATGCATGCACTTTTAATCGGATGGGTGAGGACAAGCTAAGGAATGGAGAAAGGACCTTGGGACCTAAATCTGTTGGGATGGCGCAGCATATGGAATTAGTTTTTAAAAGGGGAAAGTAACATCCTTAAGTTTAATGGGTCACAAATGAAATTTCAAGTTAGACTAGCTGTGAATAATATAATTTAAGCTAAAAACTAACTTCTGTGAACCCATTTAAGAAGCTCATTTCAGCTCTATTAATCTTTAAAGTATCAAAATGTGAGTTTAATTTCAATCAGGGAAACATAATTTATCCACTACACTTCACAAACACTCATTAGAAGGCTAATATTTAACACTCATAACCCAGTTATTGTTTGACCCACACAATGCAGACAATAAATCCGTTTAGCGCCATACTTCATAGCTTATGTATAAACGCGTAGATCCTTTTCAATGGACTTTCTCCCCCGGATAACTGGCATGCTGTTAAAGTTAAAGACCATGAGATACAGTTAATTTGTAACAACAAGGATGGCCCATCATTTAGCATATGCAAATATTTAGACCCGGCCTACGGGTCGTATACACAATGTCTGATGTCCTGGCACTTCAATAGTCCGGCTCCTGTGGCTTAGTTTGCTCTTCAAGGCGTTGGGATGTCGAGGTCTATTTGCAGCACCCCCTTGCCACACCCCCTCTGTGTAATGTAAATATTTGTTGGCCACAGCACGAGTTGCGGCCTGGCCGAAAATCATAATAAGCAGCTCTGCTCGCCAAGTCCTTGGATAAACACTAAACATAAATCCAAACGGCTTAGGTATTTTGGGATGGAGTAAAGTAAAAGTGAAAGTGCTGAATAGGAAGCGGAAACAGGAGCGGAACTTACCAATTGTTGTTATCACAGTGACCGAGTAGAGTAGAGCCTCACTAAATGTCCAGCTCTGTGAGTCGCCAGCATCGTAGCCAAAATGGCCTAGGGCGCTGGCACTGCCCTCATGGAATAGTCCTGCTCCGCTGGAAGAACCAACCGAACCACCTTGACGTGTGGCCGCCACAATCGAGCCCTCAAAGCGACGCAGCTGCTCGTGGACCAACATCGTCCAGTTGCGTTCATACAGAACGTTGAGTTTCTCTGCAAAAAATGTGAAATGAAAAAAAAAAAAAAAAAGGTTAAATCGGGTCTCGTCGAGAATGCGTTCAAGTGTCCTTTCCGTAATTATGCAATTTCATGCCAAGTGCAGCAACAGCCTTCGACCTCCCATCGACACGGACGACAAGTGCCGACAAATCGGACTATCCTTGGTTCACCTTTCCCAGCCTCCAACAGCCCACCAATCCTCCCCTTCGATTTCGGTTGCCTGTCTTGAGGAATCTGCTCCCATTTGATGTCGTGTGTTCGCCTCTCTTGCAAATTGCAGAGGTCGCTTGTTAACAGCAGTTTGAGACTAGTTTGCTGTCTTCCTTGTCTTCCACGCCCTTTTCACGCCCTCTGGCCTTGGGCTCGTTGGGGAAGTGGCAGTGTAGGTTGAACTGTGGGTGTATAACACTCGAGTGCTTGAAGCCTCGAGGGTACACTTTCCCCAGACATCATCCACCCACCCTAATCGACCTGAGCAAGTTGCCAAGAACAAAGCCAAAATCAAACGATTCTCTCTGCCAATCTTTTCAACTTAATCGATTGATTTTCAAAATTCCTCTTCGTTCTGGGACTTTAGAGTTTATAAGAAACTAATTGGCAATGAAAAAGAATGCCAAAATAATATTTAACTTCTTCTTTGGATCTTTAAGCTTGCAGAGTTCAGTTAGAATAAGATACCCATTGCTCTGTTCATTTATTTAAAAATAGAAATAGGAATGACGATTTACAATCTTGATAAGCCCCTCCCTTTTCTATTTTCCGATTATTCTAAAGAAATTAATTTGTTTTATTTCGCAGAAATTGTACATCGCGATAAGAAAATATCAGCAGCTTTCAGCATCGAGGTGGGCTTAAAAGGTGTTCAGTCTCTCTCGATCTGAGCTCCGATCATGAACAGTTCTCATCTGATTTTTACCCTATTGTGGGCTATCATCTGCCTAATGGTTTCATCTCAGGCCGAACCCAAAGATTGGACACCAGGAGAGCTAAGGGTTTACCACCAATTAAAGCAAATGGAGTGCGGTGTCGTATCTCCTCTCATGAAAGTTAGAAAATTCCCAGTTAGGATCTTCGGTGGCTTGAAATCCTCTTTATTTTCTCAACCTTGGATGGCATTACTTTATATTCCGATTGATTTGGAGATGTGTCGATGTGGAGGCGCCCTTATCTCAGAACGTAAGTACATATATAAAAAAGTGCATACAGAAGCGATTTCCCCTGACTATTTATTACATTACATTAGGTTTTGTTTTAACTGCTGCACACTGCTTCAAAATGTGTCCCCTATCTGGAGAGTAAGTTGTATTAAAAATATATTTTTTCTTCTTAATGTCTTATATTCGTACTCAATCTTGAGCAGATTAAGAGTGCGCCTAGGAGAGCTGGACATAAATACCTCACCAGACTGCGCCACCTACCATAATCAAAGGGTTTGTGCCCCACCCGCTGAGGAATTTGGTATAGAAAGTTGGTCTATTCACGAGGAATTCGATCCAGTCTACCCTTGGTTTGATATTGCCCTGTTGAGACTGAACCGAAAAGTGGTCTTCAAGGGTATGATTTCTTATAAGGTTTATATTCATATATAAAAACTCTAATCTGCAGATCACATCAAACCCATATGCCTTCCCCTAACCGACGAACTGCTGGCGTTTACTTCGGTTATTGGACAATCCTATATGGCGATTGGTTGGGGAAGAACTGAAAACAGGCGCGTTGCCAACAGTACGATGGAGGTCTTTGTAAATACAGAGACTTGCACTGGTGGCAGGGACAGCTCGTTTCTGTGTGCCAGCGGTGATCATGTGGACACCTGTGTGGGTGACTCGGGTGGGCCGCTCACCTGGAAAAGTTCTTATTTCGGCACTGATCGCAGGGTACAGTTTGGAGTGGTGAGCACAGGAAGCAGATACTGTGGGACTGGTCGTAAGGCTTACTACATGGATGTACCCACTTACGTTCCGTGGATTATTGGCAAGCTCTCAGGATTCCCAGACATATAAGGAAGTTCTAGATAAATTTTCACCTTCTCTATTTATACTTTATATAGTCTGAGAAGCTTTCTACTACATATTACATACTTATTAATGAACACTTCTACTCCACGAGGAAGGGGTATGGTAATAAATTACCTCTATTGCATGCTAGGCAAGAAGAAGGCAGCGCTTTTTGGTGGGCTAATCGAATTAATCATACGCCAGGTGGGACGCCTCTGCCGCGGATGAGCTCAAGTTAATTGGTTTATTTATTATGTGAAATTTTAATTAAATTAACATCAACTCTAATATACACGCACGTGCCGCTGCCGCGATGGAATCTTTTCTCCAGCCACGAATCGAGTGCCACTGGCAGGTGCGACAAAGTAATTAATTTCACATAAATCAGGCCAACAAATAGACCTCAAAATAGTTTCGATAAACATAAACGCGTATCGATGGGATATCGCACATTTGCGGAAACAAATTAAATGGCCACCGCCTGTCTAAATATTTGGCTATGCAAATATTTAGCTATTATTCAATTCGGTAGCTGCGAAAATGAAATTTAGCCACCCTTTTGTTTTCGGTTCGATGGCAATAAGTGGGACGTGGTTTTGCTTTTCAACGGAGCCATGTTTGCTGGTACTTATAATTAAAATATTTGTGCTGGCTCTACGCCGTGCAACCGCTACTATTTACTTAGTATTAATGGGCGATAACAAAACATTGTCGCTTTAATGTTCGAATTACTTTCGCAATTTGCAGGCAAATCAAGCGTGCAAAACACGCCGAAAATTTACGGGCAATGCGGCAAAAATGTGGTGGCCATCATAATTTATGCGAATTTTCGTGCATCGCCAGCGGAGCGTTAAATATTTGCTGCATATTCAGGCAGAAACAAAAAGAGCAAGATAACAGATCAAAAGAGATACATTTTCATATCGTTTTATCTTTGTATCTCAAAAATTTAATACTTTTTAGAAGCTGTTCTGGAGGTGGCTACTAAAAAATATCAATTAACTTCAAAACTAAATAGAATTTGGCATACTTTTAACTATCTTAGTTATTTCTTTCATTACTTAAGGCTCACCTGTAATAATCCAGAGCTCCCTCAGACAATCCTCCCGACTCTTGGCAATGGCCGCTGATTTGCTGAGGTCCTGTGGCGCCTCCAGCAACGGAAAGATAAGGGCACCCAGCACAGAGTAGCCAATGACCAGAAGCACCAATCCCGGCGTGGAGAGAAGCAGCTTGAGGAAATGCCCGCAGCAGCGCCGGAATCTACTGCCCGGCTTGGCGGTCAGCGAAGCAGTGGTCTTGGCACCCACCTCCGATCCACAACCAGCTTCACCAGTTCCAAATTCGGTGGGATCCGTCTCATCGTCCATGGAACAAACCAACTGAGACGGTTGCTGTTGCTGCTGCTTGACCTTAATCGCCTGCTCAACGTCGGACATGATCGCTCAATGTTCAATGGCATTTAGTGGCCACCTGCTCCTCCTCGTCTTCTGTTTTTGTTTCCGTTTCTAGCAAGCATTTCCGTTTCCGCTGGCTGCAGAGCTCGTGAATCATGGTTCGTCCAACCCTTTGGCTTACTAATTGCAACAGCGATTTCTCATCATTCGCAATGTCGCTTTGTTTTGTTCCTCGCTCTTTCTCTATATATATAAATCGTATATGCCGCCCTATATCGCCCCCTATATCTTTGTCCCTCGGTTGTCTGTCGACTGTCTTTCTATCCGCTTGTTGCCTTCAGCTAGCGTATTATGTTTTAAGCTGTCGTTGACTTGTTTTTGCTGCTTTTGCTGATGATGTTGCTGCTGCTGCTGTTGTTGCTGCTGCTGATGTTGCTGGTGTTGATGTTGCTGCTGACGTGGCATTTAGCATTATTCCTGGTCTATGCACTCCATGGACTGTTCCTCCTCTCGACCGTTTGTACTTTTAAAGTTGTTGTGCCAGTTTATTCCCCTTCGTTTCGCCGTGCTGCTGCCAGCCTGCCTGTAATTGAAAACATTTGTATGCTGTAGTTGGTTATACATATTGTTGCCGTTGTTGCTGCTGCCTGGTTGCCTGGCTGCCTGACTGCTTCCGTTGAAGTGCACTTGGCAGTAGGTTAAGCGCACACAAAGTAAAAACGTACTAAATTTGACACTTCACTTAATCTAATTAGCAACTCTTTAAATCCCTGGCCATTCTATTGTCGCTCAAGTGAGAAAAATTACCGAGAAAAATAAATATTTGTATATTTATTCAATTTATGATTGAATTAAAACAATAGTTGGTTACGCAACAGACGCTACTCTGATAGCAAATGAGTGGCAATTAAATTAATATATTTTTTATACGATACTGAAATTGAAAACGTGATTGCATGTACTTAATAACTTAATTATGTTGTGGCTATTTTTTGAAACAATAAAGTTGCATTATTAATCAGCGTCAGCAAGATAAATCATATATTAAACAAATCCATTTCATAAAGCATAATTCTACTCCATTTTAATATTGATTTTCACTTTGCCACACATCTGACTAAAGCCTCGCTTAACCCGACTTGGCCTCAATGAGCTGATAATCGGATCCCATCGATTAATCCCATTAGAATGATAACAATGACCAAGTCCATATAGGCAGCGCGTAATACAAATTGCTTGAGCGTCTGGCATTAGAGGCTGGCAAATTGAAATCCGTCTGCTGGTATCTAGATACATATATTCTACTCCAGATACTACCAACCCACCAGCCTTCACACATCAAAGTCTATAATCGTAATGAAGCTGACATCGTAGCCGGCTGGGTAATGCGCTTAGGATATTTAGACATTGAACCAATTAAAGCCGAAAGGGAAACTCGGCGATTAGTTATTGAAGCTCTCAGAGAAAAGAACAAGAACAGAGGCCAACACGCAACATTTATTGATGTGTGTGTGTGGGTGGTTACCAAGATGTGGAAGCCCAAGAGGAAAGCATTTATTCTTTTGTAGCCGCCCCTTTTTTTGTGAAGAAGAATAGGGCGTCTTCGTCTGGCACACGCAATTTACTTAATTGGAAAATAAAATAAGCCAAAGGCAGAAGCAGGGATTGGGTTTTCGGTTTTGGGTTTTCGGCTTTGGGGCACTGGTGCTGGGTCTGGAACTGGGCCAAGCCGGAAACTGCTTGGCTACTGAAACAATGGCCACTCGAGCTGCTTTTTTATGGCTAGCGCGCATAATTTAATTCAGCCAAACAACAGGGCGTATGAGCAACAAAGAACGACCAAGGCGCTGGCTAATGCAAAATTAATGTCAATCGCTTGTTGAAAGACGGTGGTGGCGTTGGTGGGAGAGAGTAGGGGAAATGCCAATGCCCTCTTAATTGTGACCTAACATTTGAACTGCGATGGAACGACACGCACACACAAACACACACTAAGCAAACGAAAGGACATTGAGGAAAAGCCAGCCGGAAAAGCGAAAAAAGGGCAAAAGGCAAAGGGGCAAAATGTCTGCCGGAAGTTATCCCTTTTAGCCAGATTGAAATCAGCTTACAGTCGCTCCTTAATTGAAATGTTTGCGTTTCACTTTAATTAAAGCGTTTTCAGCCGCCCTCAGCTGACAAAAGTCCTTTTCAGCCCACCGAAAAAAGGATGTTCCGTCATATTTTCTGTATTCCATTGGATTTCATTCATTTCATCGCTCTTCAACGTACTTTTTCGCACGTCATTTTGATGAAGTTGCCAGCCAAAGTTTTTTAATAGTTAAGTACGGCTGCAGACCAGGATAACCAAGGGGTAGAAAGGGCTCGCCTTCATTTCCATTCATTTCCCTTAACTCGAGACTTGTCTTTTGTCCCACTCCGCCCCTATTATGCATTATTTATTATTATTATTTTTAAATGCAATGACAACAAACGCAGTTTAATTACAATTTTCAACTCATCAAATGCAGCAGCCGCAGTGGAGAAAAGAAAACAGAAAATAGGAAGAGCGAAGAGCGAAGAACGAAGGACATCGGGGAGCATCCAAAGAAAATGGCGCTAATGGCGCCAACATTTCTCATTCTCATCCATCCCCTCTTAGCCAGCTTTTCCCACTTTAGAGACCAGGACAGCTTGGCTGTTTTTAAATCCAATTTTGCTTCATAATTTTATAACGCGTCCGGCAAACCCTGTCCGCTTCCCTGTCCCCGAGAGATGAATCCTCCTCCTCGTATCCCTTCTCCTCACTGGCCATTGCCGATTTAATTGCATTGCTGACATTTAGCACCCAGCACTGGAAAACCCACAAAAAAAGAGGACATCATGGCGGAAAAAAGGACATCACAGTAAATGACAAGAATGGTAGGTGGAGAGCGAATGCAAAGTTGATTTTTTGATTCGGGATACGAACCATATTTGCATGTCGGTTTGTTAATTGAAGTCCAACAAAATCATCAGCTCTTTTTGGACCATTTACCAATTATTATTCTCTTTCGAATTGTTTTTGCGGTTAACTCTTGTGAGTTTCAAGCGAATCCTGACCATAAAGCTGATCATTCAAATTAAATTGCCATTATATTAAGTTATTATTTAAACAAAAGATAAGTTAATGTTTTAATTTATAAATAAATATCAAATATTAAATAGCTTTAAGCTAATTTTTGGGATAAAAACATACAGTAAAGTCACTCAACTGCAAATTATGGCTTTTATTTATCAACAATATTGTTCTAACTGCGATGTAAATGTTTTTCCATTTCATTTATTAGCTTGTTTAAAGGTGCTACCCATTAATATTCAACACAAATTCAAATTACTAAATAATTAAAATAAGCAAAGGCGTAACAGTTGCCAGCAAGCACTGCTTTATTTAAGTAAGAACAATAAAATTGTTCAGTCAAGTGCCTATAATGAAAACTAAATGCTCGAAGATTAGTGGTCTGCAGGAGAAGGAGGAGCGAGACTCTGATAAGGGGATTTCCCGGCGTGTTTTCCACGCCTTTGAAGCCATAAAAGCACTGAAGCGTGCTCTGAACTTTTAGCACATTAGCCAAGAGATTGCGAGTAATAGTGGCTTTTATAGCCAGAGGTGCGAAACAAAAACCGAGCCGCAGTAGTAGATAAACAGATACAGATGGGGATATCCTTGCCAAGATACTCGCACGCTCCACACAATTGCACACGGAAATTCATATGATTATGATTATAATGATTATGCAATTGGGTGCGGGAAACACTTGAGCGGCGCTCATAATTCATATTAGAGCAAGAACAAAGGACCCAAAAATAGTGCTGAGAAAAAAGTTAGCCCAAAAAGAAAGTGGCTGGCAAGTGCAGGCCAACGGACATTATGTGCAGCAGGATCCAGCAGGATATAATGACCATGTTAATGCCCAACACAAAAGTGCACTGAAAGGAAATGAGCAAGATAAGTAACGAGCCCGAAAATGTTCCTTAGTCCCCCTCCTGCTTGGAAACTTTTGCGCAAAACAAGGAAAACTAGGGAAAAGCCAGTGGCTGGCTTCACTGCTCTCTCGATTCCTTGGCCGTTCCTCATTAAACGCACTCAAGTCGCTCGCAACAATCTTAATTATGTTGTAAAGTCTTTTGGCCAGGAGGACCAGAAAGAATACAAAAAAATAACACCAGCTCAGGGAGAAGGGGAAGAGATAGCAAAGCTTTTCAGCTGGCCAGGAAAAACTTTGGCCGCGCTGATTAGTTTTTCGAGTGCCTGGAGTCCAAGTCGGCCAGTCAAGCGTTTCCACTCAGTCTGTCATCTAGTCAGTCGGGCATCAGTGGCAGTACTACTGCACCAACTCCTCCTCCATTCGAAACTTTTCCTGGCGGCGTGGCAAAACAACAAAAACTCATTAAAAACTACACAAATGCAACGTTTGGCCCATAAATACACGGCAGGCAGAGCCCTCAGAAACCGGGCCAAGTCAAGCAGGAAAATGCAAAACTGCCCAACAAATGCACAATAATTAGAAGCAAATTTAAAAGTCGTTTGGCTGCTAATGAAGGCTTCCTTTGTGCCAGGAAAACTGAATGGTTAGTGCGGCAAACGCACCAAAGGAGTAACCAAAATTGCCAGACTATAGCTGCAAAGATGTTGCCGGCTAATGGCCAAAATTAGTTCAATCAATTCCCTTAGGATTCATAATTGCATTTTGAAGTTAATAGGGTTGAGAAGGGTAATTAAAGTTTCATTTTATGGGAAAAGGAAAAGCCTTTAAGTATTTTCAATTTAAATGAAAAGACTTTAAGATAAAAACGGCCACTTTGTTAAGGAAAAATAACAATTAAATCAGAAAACGCCTTGAAATATATTTAAGCTAACCTACTACAACTTCCCGTAGTTTCCACAACTATTGCGTTGACAAGAGCCAAGGTGATTGTCTTTTAAACTTGGCCAAAGGGCAGCTTCTGGTGTCATTCACAGGTTTTTAATCAGGAATTGGGGGCAAAGTTAATCCTATCGGGTATCCTGACTGTAGTTCAACATAAACTCGTTAACTTTCATAATTAAATTGTTAAACATCAGTTGGGCTTTAATTGACAGTCGTCGTCCTTCCTTTGGCCAGCTCAGCGAAATTCCTTAAGTGCCAATTTAGTGGCAATTTGCTTTTGTCTTAACACTTTTCGGGGTGGAGGATAAGACAGGGGTGCGCTTGTAGTACAACACAATTTAATGTTAATTAAGCAAAACGTTGCCAATGGCAGTTTGTAGTCGCACCGAGTTCAAATGGTCCATTGGTTCTTTCCCTTTCCCTCTCCTTTTTCCCTATTTTCCCATTTACCCAGCAGCCAGTCGGTGAATGTGTAAACAAATGTTTGCACAGTTGGCCTAATTGACTTTGCCGAGTTAAAGCAAAAAGTTTTCCCACTCACTCGCCCAGCTCTCTTCATCTCACCATAAACGAGATAAAAAGAACGAAATTAAATCAAATAAAATCGAATTGTTAGCCAATTGAACGAAGGCTAAGACCCCCCTAAAAAATAAGCCACAAAAAAAACGAGAGAGAAAAACGGAAAATGGCAAGG